CTACTACTACTACTACTACTACTACTACTATTATTATTATTATTATTGTTACTACTACTACTACTACTACTGCTATTGCTGCTCCTGCTTCTACTACTACTACTACTACTACTACTACTACTACTACTACTACTACTACTACTACTACTGCTGCTGCTATTGCTGCTCCTGCTTCTACTACTACTACTACTACTATTATTATTATTATTATTATTACTACTACTACTACTACTACTACTACTACTACTACTACTACTACTACTACTGCTATTGCTGCTCCTGCTTCTACTACTACTACTACTACTACTACTACTACTACTATTATTATTACTACTACTACTACTACTACTACTACTACTACTGCTATTGCTGCTCCTGCTTCTACTACTACTACTACTATTAGTACTACTTCTACTACTACTGCTACTAATATTAGTACTGTTACTACTACTACTACTACTACTACTAATTATGCTGCTGCTGCTTCTACTACTACAATTACTCTTACTACTGCTACTATTATTACTACTACTGCTACTACTACTACTACTACTAATACTACTGTTACTACTACTACTGTTACTACTACTACTACTTCTACTACTGCAATTACTACTGCCATTGCTACTGTTGCTACTACTACTACTGCTGCAATTAGTATTACTACTAGTACTACTACTTTTACTACAGTTACTACTACTAATGCAATAATAATAATAATAATAATAATAATAATAATAATAATAATAATAATAATAATATTATTATTATTATTATTATTATTATTATTATACTTATAATGATCACAACACGTAGGGATATTCTTATTTCCATGAGTAAACGCTAAATCCGTAGGGGTAGTCAGGATTGACCCGAGGGAGGGAGAAATGAAATTAAAATTCTGGCCACACCATCTTGGCCACACCACCCTGGCCACACCATCCTGGCCACACATTCCTAGCCATACTATCCTGATCACACCATTCTGGCCACACCTTCCTAGCCACGCCATTCTGGCCACATCGCTCTGGCCACACCATCCTGGACACACCACCCTTACCAAACCATCCTGCCCACACCATCCTCGCGACATTACCCGGGTCACACCATCCTCGCGACATTACCCGGGTCACACCATCCTCGCGACATTACTCGGGTCACACCATCCTCGCGACATTACCCGGGTCACACCATCCTCGCGACATTACCCGGGTCACACCATCCTCGCGACATTACTCGGGTCACACCATCCTCGCGACATTACCCGGGTCACACCATCCTGGCCACAACACCCTGGCCACACCATCCTGGCCACAACACCCTGGCCACACCATCCTGACCACAACACCCTGGCCACACCATCCTGGCCACACCAGTAGTAAGTAGCTACAACGGTGAATCGATTATAATAATAATAATAATAATAATAATAATAATAATAATAATAATAATAATAATCTTTATTTACTACAAGTACATGTAAAAGGTATACAGTTCTAGGTGACATCAATGACATACTACTATATAGAAAGCCACTTGTTATGCAGAGCATTTCGGGCAAATTAGGTCAGTTTTGTCCCCAGGATGCCACCAACACCAGTCGACTAACACCCAAGTACCTATTTTACTGCTAGGCGAACATTAACGGCAGGTGTCTTAAAGAAACACGTCCTAATATTTCCATTCGTGCCGGGGATCGAACCAAGGTCCTCAATGTGTGAGATGAGTAGGCTAGCAATCGTGTTTCGGGACACTGTTAACTAGTCAACACTGCCTCTCACTGCCAAAAAAAAATAACGTTGTTCTTCTGATGACAAGTGACCTGTTACTAGGTAACAGATCACTACCACTTAGTCTGTTCTGTGTAAGTTGCACTGCAGTATGTACCACTTAAACAAGTTCTCAAACAAGACCTGCAGATCAGCTAAGTTACGGCACTTATATTTCAGTAATCTTTGTGTACTAATTAGGGATTTAAGTGTCACGCGTAATGACCTCTCAGAGAAAAACTCGCTAATCACCCGAATTTATTTCTTAATGCGTAAGTGCATTGCCCTTGGTAATTAACGAAGGAATGAAGGTAGTGTTTAGTCAGTATGAGAGACCCAGGCGATGGTAATTAACATAGTTTTAATTATATGGATCATTAAATGACAATGTTTCGCCCACATAACTGACTTTATTAAATTATTAACTATTATTATTATTATTATTATTATTATTATTATTATTATTATTATTATTATTATTATTATTATTTTTATTATTATTATTATTATTGCTAATATTAATGATTATTTACGAGGAAACAGTGAGTTTCTGGGATCAAGAGCCCTTCACCAGGAAGACAGAAAAAGACATGAGTGACCTAAATAACTGAGAAACAGCTGAGAGAGTACTCACCTACTTGTACTCACCTATTTGAAGTGGCAGGGGTCGAGTCCCTGCTCCTGGCGTCGCCTCTCCACTGGCAGCCACTGGCTTCACTCTTAACTGCATGAGCCTTAGTGTATCTATTCTTGAAGCTATGTATGTATCCTGCCTCTACCGCACACACACACGCACACACACACAGGAGCTGTGACTCGACCTCTGCAACCACATATAGGTAAGTGCAAACACATAGAGGGTGGCCTTGGCACACGCTGGGAGTCTAGTGCCATCCGGCTCTCACTATTGTAAGGAAGTTTTCGATCAATTCGGCACTCACACTCCTACCTCCCCAACACACTTCCTGCAAGAAGGTTGTAAGAACGTCCTCACAGATGTTGCTGCTGGGATTTTGTTGTAGTAGTAGTAGTAGTAGTAGTAGTAGTAGTAGCATCAGTGGTGGTAGAGGTTGTACTCGAAGTAGTGGTGGTAGTAGTAGTAGCAGGTTAGTTAATTGAGAATAAAGCCTATCGAATTCTAAACGGGCTGCAAACTGTTCACGACCAGTGAAGAATACTTTTTAAATTCTGTGTGTGTGTGTGTGTATATATATATATATATATATATATATATATATATATATATATATATATATATATATATATATACAGAGAGAGAGAGAGAGATACTGAAAGACATACACCTCTCAATATACATATCCTGTAAGTCTATATAAACAAATTATAAAGAATGTTGATTAACTAAAAAGATATATATAAATTTAATAATTAAAGATAAATATTGTACACAGACACACACGCAGGATGAGCCCATTGTTTACCCAAAGGTGCAGGGAGTGTGCTAGAGAATGGAAGAAGTATAGAAGGCAAAGGACCCAGGAGAATAAGGAAAGCAGTTATAGAAACAGAAATGAATATACACTGGTAACAAGGGAGTCCCAAAGACAATACGAGAATGATACAGCAGCGAAAGCCAAATCTGACCCACAGCTGTTGTACAGCCACAACAGGAGGAAAACAACAGTCAAGAACCAGGTAATCAGGCTGAGGAAGGAAGGAAGGGATGTCACAACAAACGACAGCGAAGTATGTGAGGAGCTCAACATGAGATTTAAAGAAGTGTTCACAGAGGAGACAGAAGGTACTCCAGAAAGATGTAGAGATGGGGTACATCAAGTGTTGGACACAATACTTACAACCGAGGAAGAAGTGAAGAGGCTGCTAAGCGAGCTAGATACCTCGGAGGCGATTAGGCCAGATAACATCTCTCCATGGGTCCTGAGAGAGGGAGAAGAGGCGCTGTATGTACCACTAACAACAATCTTCAACACATCTATAGAAACAGGGCGACTACCTGAGGTATGGAAGACAGCAAATGTACTCCCAATTTTTAAAACCTGATTACAGCTCTCTGGTTTCTAGCTTCTCGGTGTGTATACACTGAGAGACATACGCCTATCAGTCTATATATCCTCTGGGAAGCTAAATATGCTAGATAAGTGCAGAAGAGGAAGCGGCTGGATGTGAGAAAATCCTGTCTAGCACGGGACAGTAGTGACGGAATGACAAGTAATGACAGGTACTGCAATAAGCATTGTAGAAAAGCACTTTGTGCAGAGCAAATATCTAATATCAGAGTTGATGTTTCGCTCTTCGTCGAGCTCGCACAGTTCAGGACATCTGTTGAAGAAACGTTTCGTCATGAGTGGTTACATCATCATAATAATAATAATCTTTATTTCTACAAACACATGATACAACTTATATAGACCTACATGACGTCAGTGACGTACTATATAGAAAACCCTTGCTTATGCAGAGCTTTTCGAGAAACTGGTTACTTTTGTCCCCAGGATGTGACCCACATCAGTCAGCTAACACCCAGGTACCTACTTGCTGCTAGGTGAACAGGGACAGTAGGTGTCTTAAGGAAACACTCCCCAAAGTTTCCACCCATACCAGGGTGGGCACGAAGGACTGGTGAAGTCCTTCGTGGTGAAATATTTTCTGCAATAAATGTTCTAAACTGTTCGCAAGTGCCATTTTCCTCAGTTTGCCGGTATCACCAAACCATTTATAATCCTGTACCATTTGCCAGTGGATCTAGTACAGAGCTCGTCTATGCTTGCATTTAATTGTAGATGAATGGTTCACAGAACCGACATGTTGATAAATTAGACACATGTGTAACTCTTGGGTATCTTTATTGAGGAAACGTTTCGCCACACAGTGGCTTCATCAGTCCTTCTAGATTCTCCTTTGTATGGACTGATGAAGCCACTGTGTGGCGAAACGTTTCCTCAATAAAGATACCCAAGAGTTGCACATGTGTCTAATTTATCTGCATTTAATTGGAAAAATATATCTAACTGTACATTATTAATTTCAGATATTTGTACCACTATCAATATTAAAATTTAGTGGTTGATTATTAGTGTTGTGTTGGAGATTAATAATTTTCTTTCTGTCAGGAAATGAAGGAGGAGGAACCGCAACGTCTTCCCCCACCACAAAGGAGAATTCGGCCCCTCTCTCCACCACAAAAGAAACCTTGAACCCTCTCCCCACCACGAGCGTTGTGACGACGTCTTCCCCTACGACAATCAGTAATCACAATCAGAGTGTAGTGACGGCTGTAGTCTCGACAGACGCTGGTATCAAGAGGGACAAGGAACTACACTCAGTGGGATAACAACTGACATCGGAGAAGCAGGAGGAGGTGCTAATAACGCAAACGCCACCAACACCACCACAACTACCACACCCGGAGCAACAACGGCAACACCAGCAACATCAGCGACACTAGTAAATGTAACAACAACCACTCCAGGCACAATAACTCCTAAGGTTCCACAGACAACAAAGGCTCCAGCGACAGGAACGAACCAAACCAGTAAGTCCAAGTCAATGTTTTTTACCCAAAACGATCTCCAGCAAATGCTTGGAAACTTTAAAAACATTGCAATATTGCGAAACATCAAGGTTTTTAAGTGGCAGGAAATTCAGTATACTTGTATTAACGATCCTTCTATAATATAGTATTTTGGGCAACTCAAAAAAATAGGTTAACCCCATTTCCTTGGACCTAAAAGCCAAAATTTCACATATCTTGCAGCTGCCTCGACGTGTGGGTTAAACGCTCAGGTGGTTGACGGGGCTTGCGTGTGCAAGACTAACTGGACCCATGATCCTGCCCACCCTGGCCCTCACTGCCCTTGTCCTGACCTGTGTGCAGGTCACACGGTGACCTGCCCACTCGGGAGTGAGTGTTATCATCTGACCTGCAACTTCGTGACCTGCAGCTGCCCTCAACACTACAAGTTTGATTCTTTAACCAACTCTTGCAAAAGTGAGGCAATCCAAAGTTACTGTTATCGACATTCAGTATTTTACAACATATTATTATTGTGTTGTTGTTGTTGTTCTTCTTCTTCTTCTTCTTCTTCTTATTATTATTATATTATTATTATTATTATTATTATTATTATTATATTCAATTATTTATTTATTTATTAATATTTTTTTATCATCATATTATTATTATTTAAGGGGAAGCTAGAAACCAGAGAGCTGTAATCAGGTTTGTTCCGAGAAAATGGACTATATGTCCAGTTCCATAGATGGAGAACCCTTCACCAGCAGACTGGGTCCCCGCAGGCACCAACACAAACTAGGTCATGCTACCAGCATGGTGTCGGCGGCTAGGGAAGGGGATCGTTAGCACACATGTTTTGTGGGCCAAGGACGTGCTTTTGTGAGTTCTTGTTTTTTAGATTTTTTTCCATAATTATGAGGGGGTTAATTTGTTAGATTTCAAGCCTATCGACTGTAAGAAGGTCATTAAGGCTGCGTATCACCTGCCCCCCCCCCCGCTTGTTAAGGATAAATTATTACCTAAAAAATTGATTAAAATAATTCATAATATATATATTATTGTAACAGCGTACGGGTTAGAACGGCATGTGTGAATTTTCACTCACCATGAGGCGGGCCAAAACGACATGGGTTCGAATCCTCGGCTAGTCGCAGTGTTGTTTTATATTATATATTATATATATATATATATATATATATATATATTATATATATATATATATATATATATATATATATATTATAATTTTTATTGCAAATTTCTTCATATATTATCTCTTTAAGGACATATGATGCATTGATGCTGGTAAAGGGCTCTTGATCCAAGAAATTAGAGCTTCTCTTCCCTTACTTTTGTCAAATTTGATTGTCTGGCTTTACACAGGCGCTGGCTGGCTTCACAGGGATAACTGAAGCCTCTTGAATTTATTAACAGAAATTACTTATTAGCCATACACAGGGTGGCCTTTGACCTTTCATGGGCAGGAATTTCAGTGGTTCTCGGCAGACTTCATCTATAATTAGTGGCAACACGTGCCGGCTGTTATATTATTCGTCTGCAAACGAACGATAGGTATAATTAGAATATTTTATTATCTGGGCTAATGAGTGAGGTATCCCTGGTTTCCTGTAACACCTGTGCTAGTGAACATGGTATCCCTGGTCTCCAGCAACACCTGTGGTAGTGAACATGGTATCCCTGGTCTCCAGCAACACCTCTGATAGTGAACATGGTATCCCTGGTCTCCAGTAACACCTCTGATAGTGAACATGGTATCCCTGGTCTCCAGCAACACCTGTGATAGTGAACATGGTATCTCTGGTCTCCAGCAACAACTTTGGTAGTGAACATGGTATCCCTGGTGTCCAGCAACACCTCTGATAGTGAACATGGTATCCCTGGTCTCCAGGAGCACCTGTGGTAGTGAACAAGGTATCCCTGGTCTCCAGCAACACCTCTGATAGTGAACATGGTATCCCTGGTCTCCAGTAACACCTCTGGTAGTGAACATGGTATCTCTGGTCTCCAGCAACACATATGCTAGTGAACATGGTATCCCTGGTCTCCAGTAAAACCTCTGGTAGTGAACATGTTATCCCTGGTCTCCAGTAACACCTCTGGTAGTGAACATGGTATCCCTGGTCTTCAGTAACACCTCTGGTAGTGAACATGGTATCTCTGGTCTCCAGCAACACATGTGCTAGTGAACATGGTATCTCTGGTCTCCAGCAACACATGTGCTAGTGAACATGGTATCCCTGGTCTCCAGTAACACCCGTGTCTTATCTCAGCACATCTCATCAGAGCAAATGATTGTAAGGTAAGACACATATGCAACAGTTAGGTATCTTTATTGTGAAACGTTTCGCCTACACAGTAGGCTGAGGGACTGACTGACTGAGGGACTGACCACCTCAAAACTTTAAGGGTGATGGACTGATTACATCGTCTTCAAGTATCTTCTGCTTCTATCAACCTTTCCTGTACTTGACTGAAGAAGCCTACTGTGTAGGCGAAACGTTTCACAATAAAGATACCTAACTGTTGCATATGTGTCTTACCTAACAACCTGTCGGTATTTTATACCATTTTAATGTTCAAATGATTGTAGTTGCTAGCTTTTAATACGACTGATCCTCTTCATGCCTCTGTTCTCTTGCTGTCTTACGATATGACGGAATGGAAGGAAACGTGCGCAAGTTGAAGGTAGGAGAGGGAGTCGACGGAGAATGAGAGGGAGTTGAAGGTGTATGAGAGGGAGTTGATGGGATATGAGAGGGAACTGAGGGTATGAGAGGGAGTTGTAGAGGCATAAGAAGGAGTTGAAAGGGTATGAGAAGGAGTTGAATGGGAATGAGAGGGAGTTGAAGGGGAATGAGAGGAAGTTGAATTGGTATGAGAGGGAGTTGAAGGGGATATGAGAGTTGAAGGGGAATGAAAGGGAGTTGAAGAGGTATGGGGAGTTGAAGTGGTACGAGAGGGAGTTATGTGTGTAGAAGTAAGCGGTACATGGGATGGTTATAGTGCATCTTCAGACGATAATCACAAAATATATTTTTGGATACAAACGATAATTTTTTAAATTTTCTGCAGTGACTTAAGACCACAAGACATACGAACACAGTTTCCTGGGGCGTGTCTTCTTGTCATGGCGTCTTCTGAAGCAAAAATGAAGTGAAATCTGAAGGTGTGATGACCACCAAGTCGCAATTCTTGCAAGTGTAAGGTTCTTCCTTGCCTTGATTCTTGGATTGCAGAGCCCTGTGACAGGGCGAGGCAGAGGAGGAAGGTCTTCCGAAGTGGTCTTTACTCACAGATTCCTGTCGAGTTATAGCATTTAACCTAACAATAATTCGTCCAATAAGTGTCTTGACTTCATTTTCTTCTTTATCTCTCACCTTAGTCTCCTTGGCATCTAATCCTTTAACTTTTCCCTTTGTTTATCTCCTCCCTTCTCTCATTCCTAACCTCTGCCACCACTTCTTGCAGGTCTGTGTCAGTACTACGGGGATGTAGTGTGCAGCCTGGGGTCCGGCATGGTGTGTGTGGACACAGCGGGCGCACCAAAAGGCTACACTTGCAGGTGTTCCCCCGGATACATCCTCGTCAACGACACCTGTCAAGGTATTGTGTTTTGTTGACAAGTGATTTGAGTGTGGTGATGATTAATCTGGTGGGGGTGGTGTTTTATTGGTCAGGAAACAGATCAAGTGTCTTCTGACACGGGTCAGGTTTTACACTCCATTTAACAGAAAATCAATACCTAGTAATGTCCAGAGATGATGAGACTTTGACCATTAACACGTCACGAATTGTGACTTTTTATTCTTCATGGTGATACAGTTACAGGAATCCCAAATATTTTTAAACATGGTATGTTGGCTATTGGTATTTTACGCCCATTGACTGGACGAAGGTTATTAATGCTGTAAGTCACCTGTTTACCACCATTAAAAATACTTGAATACCTAATGTTAAACTCTCAGCACATAGCCACTGAGAGACATACACCTCTGTGTATCCATAATTTCTTGCTTCAAAAAGCGAAAGAATTTTATTCCTGCTGCCAGATGTGAACGAGTGCACAAGGAACGAGGGCAGCCCCTGCCGCCAGAATGAACACTGTATCAACATCCCTGGCAGCTACAAGTGCCCCTGCATCCACGGCTACCTCAGAGACTCTGCTGGTTCCTGTATCAGTAAGTAGGTTCTCATGAACAACGAAAGTCACAGTACCATAACTAAACAATTTGCAACTAACCCAGAAACCAGTATAAGTGTTCTCTGTTGCTGGATCATGATCATAAAAAAAAATTAAAAAATATTACCGTGTTGTACGTGTTTATGTCGCGTTTAGGACAATTTCTGGTGCACTTTTCTTTGGAATACTTGCCTATCTTACGTAAATTATTTGAAAGCAATATACGCACTATTACATGGAAATAAGTTACAGTTTTCGAATTCTTAATTCGTCTTTTTTTTCCCCACTTAGTTTTTATACGTTTCCTTTCTTTCCTCTTATTTTTATTTCCCTGACATCCTCAGTGCCTCGTTCCTTCCTTATTCCCTCCTTGAAGCTTTATATTTTGCCCTCTTATGTCCTCTGTGTGTGTGTCTCTCTAACTCAGTGCCGTCTGTTTCTACAGACATCAATGAGTGCTTGAACCCGAGTTTGCATGATTGCGATCACATCTGTGTTGATGCCAGCCCACCTGTCTTCTACACCTGTTCCTGCTACCCGGGATTCACCTGGAACGAAACACAGCGTCGGTGTGTACCTGGTTAGTGTTAATAAGTATGTGCCGTACACTCAGTAATGAACATACACACACGTTATAATATATACAGACACTCTCAGTATACATACATTGACACACTTACACACACACACACACACACACACACACACACACACACACACACACACACACACACACACACACACACACACACACACACACACATAGAAAGGAATGACCTCATCAACAGCAGCTAACATGGTTTCAGGGACGGGAAATCCTGTGTCACAAACCTACTGGAGTTCTATGACATGGTGACAGCAGTAAGACAAGAGAGAGAGGGGTGGGTGGATTGCATATTCATGGACTGCAAGAAGCCGTTTGACACAGTTCCACACAAGAGATTAGTGCAAAAACTGGAGGACCAAGCAGGGATAACAGGGAAGGCACTACAATGGATCAGGGAATACTTGTCAGGAAGACAGCAGCGAGTCATGGTACGTGGCGAGGTGTCAGAGTGGGCACCTGTGACCAGCGAGGTCCCACAGGGATCAGTCCTAGGACCAGTGCTGTTTCTGGTATTTGTGAACGACATGACGGAAGGAATAGACTCTGAGGTGTCCCTGTTTGCAGATGACGTGAAGTTGATGAGAAGAATTCACTCGATCGAAGACAAGGCAGAACTACAAAGGGATCTGGACAGGCTGCAGACCTGGCCCAGCAATTGGCTCCTGGAGTTCAATCCAACCAAGTGCAAAGCCGTGAAGATTGGGGAAGGGCAAAGAAGACCGCAAACGGAATACAGTTTAGGGGGCCAGAGACTACAAACCTCACTCAAGGAAAAAGATCTTGGAGTGAGTATAACACCAGGCACATCTCCTGAAGCGCACATCAAACAAATAACTGCTGCAGCATATGGGCGCCTAGCAAATCTCAGAACAGCATTCCGACACCTTAATAAGGAATCGTTCAGGACCCTGTACACCGTGTACGTTAGGCCCATATTGGAGTATGCGACACCAGTTTGGAACCCACACCTAGCCAAGCACGTAAAGAAACTAGAGAAAGTGCAAAGGTTTGCAACAAGACTAGTCCCAGAGCTAAGAGGTATGTCCTACGAGGACAGGTTAAGGGAAATCAACCTGACGACACTGGAGGACAGGAGAGATAGGGGGGACATGATAACGACATACAAAATACTGAAAGGAATTGACAAGGTGGACAAAGACAGGATGATCCAGAGATTGGACACAGTAACAAGGGGACACAGTTGGAAGTTGAAGACACAGATGAATCACAGGGATGTTAGGAAGTATTTCTTCAGCCACAGAGTAGTCAGTAAGTGGAATAGTTTGGGAAGAGATGTAGTGGAGGCAGGATCCATACATAGCTTTAAGCAGAGGTATGATAAAGCTCACGGTTCAGGGAGAGTGACCTAGTAGCGACCAGTGAGGAGGCGGGGCAAGGAGCTCGGACTCGACCCCTGCAACCTCAACTAGGTGAGTACAACTAGGTGAGCACACACACACACACACACACACACACACACACACCACACACACACACACACACACAACACACACACACACACAACACACACACACACACACACACACACACACACACACACACACACACACACACACACACACACACACACACACACACACACACACACACACATCGCAGTACTTATATATGCACACTGATAGACACATTATTGCTGTATATACACTGATAGACACAGACCTATCGGTATATATACTCTGTTAGACACACACTCACACACACATACATCTCAATGTATATACCCTTCCTATTACTACAGAGGAATATCTCGCTGTTACATGGTTGCAGGTAACGCCAGCAGAGAGTGTGAATGCGGCCAACCAGAGAGAAGTGTTTGTTATGATCCACCAGAAGGGAAACGGATGTGTTATCCGCGTCCTGGATTCGCCTTCAAGAACGGCACTTTCAGCGGTAAGTTTGAGAGATATTAGGAAACGGGGGATCAAAACTCCACTAATTCTACTGGATTTCTATCTTAAAAAAATGTTCCTTGGTGTTGGAGAAGGGCTGATTTACGAAACTAGAGCTGCTCTCCTCTTTCACGGAGAATATTTGAACACCCATTAATCAGGCGTTGTGTGTTCCTTTGGGTTTAACTCTTCTCCAAGAATTTAATAATGATAATTCACTAGTCAACAATAAAAAAAATTCGTTGCTAAAGATATCTGAAGGTATTTAGGGTAGTTTTGGGTCGCTGAATTCGTACATGGCTGTAGGTTTTACAAAATGGCTCTAGTTTGTGAGATATTGCATACCTACCCTTAGTTGACAGGGAACTTAGCCAAAACGCGTGTATATGTGTATGTAGTGACACTGTACATACAGAAAGTTTTAAGATTAGAATTTTATTTTTAAATTGTTTAATATTTAATGAAAGGAGTTGTATCAACAATGACCACCTGACAGGACGTTATTTTTATTTTGTTATTTTTTCTAGATAAATGTGAGTTCTTCACGAAGAGTCTGCTTAAGCATTTCTAATGTATTTTGTTATATTTTAAGCAAATACTTTTTTTTCAGAAACAAAGGAAAAACAACACGGATTTTGTAAAACAAGTTTATCTTGCTTATTTTTGAGTGGCGCTTGGAGAACAAGACTTGGGGCTCCCCATATGGTTTGCAAAACCTGTGTAGAATGCTTACGACTGTGGAAAAATAGGCAGAGGAAAAGTTTAAATATCGTTGTGCCTATAGTGTGAAGAAAGACGAGAAACCACCACGACGTTTATTTTTGTAAAGTGAATGTGAAAGGTTTCAAGTGATACAAGAAAGTCAAGTGAGATAATCTTGATTTGGAGTCAGCAAGGAGACCTGTGCCACACAGTGAAGACGTTACCATACCAGTGTTTACAACACTACCTGACTCTTCGATGTCAGTTGTTGAAGAAACTCAGGGTTTAGGATGTAACGCAGTTAATTTTAGTGAAATTAAATAGAAAGAAAGCATTTCAACATACCAACAGTTCTCCCATGAAAAAAATTAATGATCTGATAAGTGACGTCAGTCTGCCAAAGTAAGCAACTGAACTTTTAGCATCCAGACTAAAATAAAAGTACTATTTACAACAAGAAATTAAAATAGCAGATTATCGGACGAAAGAGGTTGAACTTCTTCCTTATTTCAGCCAAGATGACGAACTTTTAATTAAACTACAATAACATCCCTGGACTTCTTCGAATGGGACTTGAATATTTACCAGGAGATTGACGGCTGTTTATAGACAGCTCCATTCGAAGCTTAAAATGTCTTACTGCACAATGGTAACCAACATACTGGAGCCTCCAATGGGACTGTGTTGATGACCATAATAGAAGAAAATCGTACAAACAACGTTTTCATATGCAGTTATTAGTGGTATCTGAATTATCTATGTTAATCTGTTATTGTACAGAATGAAGTGCTAGTTTGTATTTACATGATTTGGCTTTTGCTAGATCTAAAAGAAATAATTTCAAAGCAATCTGTAATTTAGCCCCGACTGATCAATATATTTTTCAGGAGGGGCTAAATTACAAATCGCTTTGAAATAATTTTTTTTAGATCACGGGATACCAAATTTGTCAAAAACTAGAGCCAACGAAACAAAACCGATGACATCTGAATCAGCACCACAAACTTCCCCTAAAATAAGTATAATATCATTGACCAGAAAATGAACGTTGACCAGTGAATTAATAATAATAATAATAATAATAATAATAATAATAATAATAACAATAATAATAATAATAATAATGAGGAAACACTTTCATCATCACTCACTCCACTGTTTTGCCAGAGGCGTGTCTACTCTTTTTTCACTCTTTCACTCCTCTTTTACTCTCTCACTCCTCTTTCACTCTCTCAGTCTTCTATCACTCTTCTTTCACTCTCTGACTCTTACTATCTCTTACTTCCCCACTGAGTCACTTTTCTTAAGTCTTCTTGAATAGACTTAATTTACTTCTTGAGCGTTCCCTGATGTATTTTCCCCCAATATTTCATTCTTTTCTTTTGTTTTAAAAACTTTAAATCATTGGTTTGGACCATTTACCAGAGACTGACGGTCGAACTAGGTTGTGTTAGGGGAGGGAGTCTCAGCCTCAAAACCACTCACGTCCCTGAGTGCCGCAGTTTTTTAAACCCCCTTCCCATTCCTTTGCAGATGTGTCTAGTGTGGGGACCGAAAGGAGGTCGGGTGGTCTGGGACAGGGGCGTGTGGTTGGGGCGTGGGTGCTTCCCTTGCGTATGTCAAAGGAAACGCCAATGTTTCGCTGGTTTAGGGTCGATGCGTATGACCCCACTGTTGGGTTAAAGGAAAAAAAGCACAGAGTTTCCACCTCCGGGGATCGAACCACGACCCTTGTGTGAGATGGTGCTCTACCAACCGAACAAAGGGGATATTCAATAATTTTATTACTAAACTTGGCGGGAAAAGACCTTAGATTTTCAGCATATTCTCAAAATATTTTAAATTTTGTTTTCAGAATAATCACACTTATATCCTATAGACTACAATCATGACCCTTCCTACTGACTTCGTTGCTTACTACGCAACAGCACGTCAAAAAGCACTAAATATACCATATCAGGGGAAGCACTAAATGTACAAGGGGGTCCCTCGAAGTCTTTTGGTATAACAATAGCAGGCTCTTTTCACCCAGAAACGTGTTATGATACAAAGTTCGCCTTAATGCTTTGGAAAACTAAAGGAAAACTCTTAAACCGGGCTGAATTCCCGTAAGGTTAAAGGGGGTGAGCCTTCATCCATGCTAATTAAACCCCAATGGTTTTGCATTTAATATCATTGTGAAATAGAAGCTTCAGACACCTGCTGTCCCTGTTCACCTAGCAGTAAATAGGTACCTGGTTGTTAGCTGACTGGTGTGGCTCGCATCCTGAGGACAAAATAAACCTTATTTCTTGACGGAAATGCTCTGCATAACCAAGAGTTTTGTGTAAAGTAGGTCACTGATATCAGCTACGTCTGTATAAACTGTTTAATGTGCTTGAAGAAATCAAAATGAGGATTATTGTTAGTAGTATCCATACTGTACCCCACAATGATATCAGCTACGTCTGTATAAACTGTTTAATGTGCTTGAAGAAATCAAAATGAGGATTATTATTAGTAGTATCCATACTGTACCCCGGTCATGGTTTAAACTGTATGTTGCCATTAGATTTTGAAATAACCTTACGAACCTCTTGGATAAATATTGTTATAATTGCCGAGAATATGTTTGGTAAGAGGACAAACAAACATGTGGTATTAATTTGAGATTCTAGCAAGCAATTCCTTACCTATACAGTGCAAATACTATACCTAGTATTAAGATAAATATCTATGTTTAGTCCTCAGTATCTTAGTATTTTTGTTCTCAGTAATAATTAGTTGACAGGATTGTCTCAGTTTGCTCGAAATTTTGTACATACTGAGAGATTTTCAGTTTTTAATTTCTTTGCTTTGAGAATGCGAATTTTAATTAATTTTTATTTTAATATTTCTTACTGTTACGTTTTGCTCTCCGAGAGTTTAATAAAAAAAAAATGTGTATTGACTTGATGCATTTGTTACAGAGCGAAACGTAGCCGTAATTAATATATTAGTTGACTGTGTGTCATTTAGCCTAATTTATGTGATAAAATCTAAGATTCCTTAACATGGTTTTCTGACCAGGCATTGAGTGTCCAGCAGGCTCGGTGTTGGTGGGATCCAGGTGTGAGGGTAAGTGACCAACACTTCACTTCCATCTTCGTTAGGACAGTTTGGAAACGCATGGGTCAGTTTTATTTATTGTGTAAAAAAAGGATGTTTAGGATAAATGTGTCACAGATGTATAACAGGTAAACACTGAGTTTAATGTTTATAACTGAGACTCGGGTTTTTCACGGCCTTTATATTCATATCCTGTTTTAAATTAGCGACGGTTTTGCGACACGGACACATACGTGTGTGTGTGTGTGTGTGTGTGTGTGTGTGTGTGTATGTGTGTGTGTACTCACCTATTGATGGTTACATGGGTCGATTCATAGCTCCTGGCCCCGCCTCTTCACTGATCGCTACTAGGCCACTCTTTCCCTGCTCCATGAGCTATATCTTACCGCTTCTTAAAGCTATGTATGGATCCTGCCTCCAGTACGTCACTTTCCAGACTGTGCCACTTCCTGACAACTCTGCAACTGAACAAATACTTCCTAACATCCCTGTGACTCATTTGAATCTTCAACTTCCAATTGTGACCCCTTGTTGCTGTGTCCCATCACTGGAACATCCTGTCTCTATCCACCTTGTCGATTCCTCTCAGCACTTTCTATATCGTTATCATATTCTTCCTATCTCTCCTGTACTCCAGTGTCGTCTGGTCGATTTCCTTTAACCTCTCCACGTATGACATGCTCCTTAGCTCCGGGACTAGTCTCGTTGCAAACCTTTGCACTTTCTCTAATTTCCTTATGTGCTTGGCTAGGTGTGGGTTCCAAACTGGTGCTGCATACTCCAATATATTCTTCCTTACCCATCTTACCAAAGCTCTGGTCATAAGAAGAAGAAGACTCCAATATGGGCCTGACGTACACTGTATACAAGATCCTGAACGGTTCCTTACGGAGATGTCGGAATGCTGTTCATAGGTTCGCTAGGCGCCAATATGCTGCAGCAGTTATTTGGTTGATGTGTGCCTCAAATGTACTAGGTATTGTACTCACCCAAAGATCCTTTTCCTTGAGTGAGGTCTGTAGTCTCTAGCCCGCTAGACTATACTCCGACTGCGGTCTTCTTTGCCCTTCCCCAATCTTCATGACTTTGCACTTGGTGGGGTTGAAATCCAGGAGTCATTTTCTGGACCAGGCCTGCAGCCTGTCCAGATCCCTTTGTTCTGGTCCTCCACCGATTGAATTCTCCTCATTAACTTCACATCGTCTGCGAACAGAGACACTTCTGAGTCTATTCCTTCCGTTATGTCATTCACATATACCAGAAACAGCACCGGTCCTAGGACTGATCCCTGGGGAACCCCCCTTATCACAGGCACCCACTCTGACACCTCATTGCGTACCATGACTCGCTGATGTCTTCCCGCCAGGTATTCTCTGATCCATTACAAGTTTATGTATGCGTGTGTGTGGGTGTATACTCACCTAGTTGTGGTTGCAGGTGTCGAGTCACAGCTCCTGGCCTTCTTCACTGTCGCTACTAGGTCACTCTCCCTGCTCCATGAGCTTTATCATACCTCTTTTTGAAGCTATGTATGAATCCTGCCTCCACTACTTCACTTTCCAGACTGTTCAACTTCCTGATAACTCTATGACTGAAGAAATAATTCTTAACATCCCTGTGACTCATCTGAGTCTTCATCTTCCAGTTGTGTTTCCTTGTTGCTGTGTCCCATCTCTGGAGCATCCTGTCTCTGTCCACCTTGTAAATTCCTCTCAGTATTTTACATGTCGTTATTTCCCTTAACCTCTCCTCGTATCACATGCCCCTTTAGCTTTCGGACTAGTCATTGTACCCCTGAATGGGGCCCAATGTATATAAAATTTCGTGCATATATTTACCTTTTCATATAATTTTATATTGTCGATATTTTCATTAATAGCTAAAATGAAAATATCTTGCTTTATATTATTATTTGACTTATTACATTAGCTATGTATGTAGGCAGGATGTAATAATTACACTTCTCACTGTGCAAGCTGTTGAAGAGTTGTGATTGGCTTTCTGCCATCACAAACTGCCTTGCTAACTACCGTTCGTTCGTGTCAGGTGGTACCTCGCACCGTTGCTTAAGTTGCATGGGCGAGTCACCTGATATCACCTGATGTGAGGCCTGTAGCCGAGAAATCGCTCTCCACAGCTGGTCATTGCTCAACCAGCACCTCTCTCTCTCTCCATCTCTCCAGGGATCTCTCTTGTCTCTGGCTGTTTGTTCGTTATTTAGACTCTGTTTTGGTAGAGTATGGTTTCACTGATGAGTCAAAACATACTTCTTGTAACTGTGTAACTCTGTTCACGAAGCATTGTTCAAACGTAGTGATTTTTGACATTTTGCTGAGGTTGTGGCCTGGTGGCTAAAGCTCCCGCTTCACACACAGAGAGCCCGGGTTCGATTCCCGCGGGTGGAAACATTTCCGACACGTTTCCTACACCTGTTGCCCTGTTCACCTAGCAGCAATAGGTACCTGGTTTTATCAAACTGGTGTGGTCGCATCCTGGGGGACAGATTAAGGACCCCAATGGAAATAGTTAGACAGCCCTCGATGCCCGCACTAAACTTTCTTGGTTTCCTGGGTGGCTAACCCTCCGGGGTTAAAAATCCGAACGAAATCTTATCTTATCTTATCTTATAATGACACTCTAAGTCAACCCAGCTCCCAAGCTAAAGCTTCTGACCTGCTTTATGTGGCATCTACGCACCGTCGTAGTCAGGGATTTGATTATGCTGAACCTAGATTCAGTATTAAGGGAGTTTTATGACTTTTATGGAAGATCTGCTGATGGTCCCCAGTTAGGGTCGTTATTTTGTCTCCTTGTTCCTGACTCAGTGCTGCTGCTGTGCACATTGTCATTGTTCGGCGAATCATGCGTCATATTGTTCAAGCAAGCTGTTTCGATTGCCTTCTTGGTCAAGAAAATAGATTATTTGATGATGTTTAGTCAGTCACTGCTTAAGTCTAAGTCGAGTCTAGTCTAATTGAGACATGAACAACTTTGAGAACATACACACATTCTCACACACATGCTTGTATATGCTACTATTATTTTTATACTTGATAAAAACGTACCAGACGGTACTTAAGAGTCATACTGATATGAAATGTGCATTCACCACTATACTACTATATGTGCAATTTAACGTTGCACTACAAGAGAAGTGTAGGAGATAAAATCTTAAATTATATTAAATTCATTTACTTGGATTTTGTCCACCTAGACAACTTTGCTAATAAACCTCTTAATTTTTATTTCGTTAGTATTCTATCAATTCCAATCCTAAAGCACTATTAAAATTTATCATAATTGTCAAGGATAACTGGACCAGAATACTTTCTGACTGCTTGTTACAAAAACCAGAAACAGGCTAAATGCTAGAGACGGTCTTCTAGTAACCTCAGGAGATGTATATACTTTTTAGATATTACCTTTCTGTAACACTAGTCGCCTTGCAAACCTCTGCACTTTCTCTAATTTCTTGATGTGCTTTACGTGTGTGCTTGTTTGTTAGTTACCATTTTGTCTTAGGCACATGTCCATTAGACACTAGGCCTGCTGTACATGCGTGCGTGTATGTGTGTATGTGTTAGTTGCCATGTGTGTGTGTTAGTTACCATTTTGTCCTAGGCACATGTCGATTAGACACTAGGCCTGTTGTATGTGTATGTGTGCGTGTGTATATGTGTGTGTGTGTGTGTGTGTGTGTGTGTGTGTGTGTGTGTGTGGTGTGTGTGTGTGTGTGTGTGTGTGTTTTGTTGTAGCGTATATCTTTATATTTTACAAAAATCGAGAGAGAAAGAAGCTAACTAGGTACAGTCCATCATATAGTAACTTGTAGTAATACCAGTCAATCCTCCCAGACCCTTGTTCAGCACTCATCTGCCCACCGCCACTTACATGCACACTCAGCAGTGCCGGAAAACCAGAGTGCCAGTGCCACAGTGAATGTCAAGACCTGCTTCAAGTGGGTGCCACCTCCAGCGTGTACCGAGGCTCTCTGGTTGTCACTACCACCACCACACCGGCCGTCACTGCCTGGCGCCTCCTTACAGCAGTAAGCTTCTTAGTTTTTATATCTTATATGTTATTGAAGGTGTGCCTGTAAATACACAAAAGTTCTCAGGTGTTTCTCTTATGTACTTTCTGTAATATATTTTTATATTTTATGCAGTAATAATTACTGTAATATATTGTATATTATATATTTTATATAATATATATATATATATATAATATATTATATATATATATATATAATATATATATATATATATATATATATATATATATATATAAGTGTGGGGGTGACTCTTACGGGTTTAGAGCTTCTTAATGAATAATAATAATAATAATAATAATAATAATAATAATATCCTCAACTCCTGCAGCTGGAGATGTACTTCGGTCTTCATAACGTTGAGATTGTCTCTATGAAGGACCAGACACTGAAGAAGAGATCGGTGTCCCAGCCCAAGGAGCTGGAGGCGGCGTTCCTTGTCTCTGCTGACCAGTCTAACATTGCCCAGGAGATCGCTGACCTCCTAAAGATTATGTGTGAGACGAGTGTGGCCAATTCACCCAACATGTGTGTCTTGCCTGGAGGTCTGGTGGTTAAAAAGGCTTCCATCACGGTCAGTGACAAAGGTGAGCTTCGGAGACACCATAAATACACATCAAGAGGTCCTTGATAGTGTGACAAATCATTCTGATACTAACGAGAAAATGTATTTCATTGTTTTTGTTTGTTATTATATTATTATAAACTTATCTAAGCTATATTTAGTTGGATTAGGCTAAATTAAATTGCGCTTGTTGTAATAAGGTTAGGTAAGTTTTCTAAGGTTCTTATGGTACAAAATTATTAATTTTTACATTAACATAAATGAAAAAAATATATCTTTAAAATTTTAGAAGACTTACCAAGACTAACACACCTAGCCTGGCTGGGTGCTTGGCTCTTGTAGGATTGGGTGGTCCTTGCGTTAAGGCATCACGTAGTTCTCGCTCACAGTGGCGGGCCAGTGCAACTTGGGTTCGAATCCTTGGCTTGCGCAGTGTCGTTATTGATCAATACCACTCGTTCGTGGTTACAATAATACATATATATACACACGTAACAACATGTACCGTATATGCCACCTTTATATCAACAATGTATCTCTTAAATCTTCTGTACCATATTATGTAATAAAATATTTCTATTGGTAAAAAAAAAAATATGAAAAGATGGGGTGGTAGGGGAAGTGGAATATTCAAACGGCTTCAGGAAAAAATCCAAATATTTTTCCCTGAAGCCTTTTTATCCACTTCTCCGAGGCTGTGGGTCCCACAATTTACACCAGAGGTATACGTGTCCCATATATATATATATAAAATATATATATATAATATATATATATATATATAAAATATAATATATATATATAATATTATATATATATATATATATATACGCACACTTACTGACTTACTGTATATCAGACCCGTGTGTGGCTAACCCATGCGTTGATGAGAGCTCTGTGTGTCAGCTTCAGAGGAACGTCAGCGGTCGCTTCACCTGTTTCTGCAAGCCCGGCTTCTTCAAGGTGAATGCACACACTTCTCCAGGGTTTTGTCAGGGTGAGTTGATGGTGTGTGTGGAGGGTGTGCATGGAGTATGAAATGTGTGTGTGTGGGGGAGGGAGGCAGGGGGTAAAAGAGCTTACGTGGAACGTGGATGCAAACACATTCTGTCTAGACTATGCACATTGATTTGGGCAAAGATTTGATAAACCTCTACACGTTTATCAAATCAGTAAGTGGCTTTACACAGATCAACATATGTCTTTCTTTTCTATTCCTACGGTAGTTTATACCATGGATTGACATGAACAGGCAATCCTTTCAAATTCTTCATTGCTGTTAGACAGATGTGTTTGAGGTCTAGTCACCTACTGTCAGCACTGAGTAAGTATATCTAGGCATAGATCTACATAATTACAATTATCATATATAGTAACACACATTTACTTAATAGTAATACATGTGTAAGTTACTTAAGATAATCCAAAAAAGTTGAAGTGACATTCACACTAGATGTTTGTGATTCGATCCCCAATATGGGAGGAAATGCTGGGCGTGTTTCCTTACACCTGCTGTCTATGTTCACCTAGCAGTAAGTAGGTACCTGGGTATTAGTCGACTGGTGTGGGCCGCATCCTGGGTTATAAGATTAAAGGACCCCAGTGGACATAAGACAGATAGTCCCAGATGCGTGGGCCAGTAGTCCTGCTGCAGTGATCCTTCTTTCTTATGTTCTTATGACACACTGACTTTTGGGTTATCCTGAGGAGCTAACCCTCCGGGTTAAAAATTCGAATAAATCTTATCTTACACTTACTGTGGGTACTGACTAGTTATGTTCGCTCCTCCTAGTACAATATTATATTTACGACGGCCGAAACGTCGTCGTAAGCTCCTTTCTCCTATGTGCGGGTTATTTATCTACTGTTCTTGTCACGGTATTGTGCCTTTTTGTTCTTTATTTTAAGCTTTTAATGTTTTACAGAATTTAAAATGAGATATCCGGGACACTAATGGTTAGCAATTTTGTATAAGTCATTTGATTTCAATTGTTCTGATACAGTTTTCAGCTTCACCATTTATATTTTTCTTGTTGGTCATGATCTCCATGTTCCCAGGTCCACGTTGAATGCTATCATCTTATTTGTCAGCAATCCATAATTATTTTTCCTGGTGTTTTTTCTTCAAAAATACCGCCTAGTGACCAAAGGATCAGAGAAGCTTCCGAAGTACTGTGTGTGGATATTCATCTCTCCCCAGACTCCTTTAGTAAGATAATACTAAACATTACTTTTAGCATTAGCTGGCCAACTGCATTTTGAGGAACGTGGGTTATTTGAACTCTGGGTTATTCGCAGGCGACAGCCCAATACAAAGTCAGTTGGAGTTTTGAGTAATTGCCCCATTAAATAACAGTCCAGAAGCTAGTATCCCACTGTCTACATGAATATTGATTAGGGAAGACCCATTTAATTAAGGGACTCTCAAGGTGTAGATATGTACCAACACCATTTGAATATTTGCATGAATCAGTCCTACTGTGTACATGGTATCTTAAAATGAGAGAGAGGTCATTGAAACTTAGATTATCCTGAAAGGAACAAGGGGTTTCTAGCTTGACTCCACAATCAAGTAAGTCTGTTCTAGTTTGTGCGTGCAGATAAGAATTTCCTGCAAGTTAGATTAATCCTCAAAATGAAGTGTTCTCTATGGGTCACTTGTGAGAACAGGACTCTAGGAGTCTTGTGCTTTCTGTGTCAACAGTGATTACCTGAAGGGGCATTCTCACTAGTTTCCACAGATTTTTATCCTCGGTGGCTAACACAAGAAAGGCATCGAGGGGATGTCCGTCTTATTTCCAATGGGGTCCTCAATCTTGTCCCTCAGGATGCGGCCCACACCAGTCGACTAACGGGACAAAGGTGTAAGGAAACACACCCAATGTTTTCACCCTTGCCGGGATTGAACCACAGACATTCAGCGTGTGAAGCGACAGTGTAGGGGGTTGGCTTGGCAGGCCTATACACTAAGGCCTAGGACTCAGTGTATAAATTTCTGAAACTTATTCCCCACTACGTGTATATACATTGCTGTTCTCTGTGCTAGGGATGTGGTTCGCCGATATGTCCCGGCCCAGGTCTTGTCCAGCTGGTGACCCCCGGAACTCTATGCTTTCCACATCTATAGAACATAAGAACATAAGAAAGGAGGAACACTGCAGGAGGCCTGTTGGCCCATACTAGGCAGGTCCTTTACAATTCATCCCACTAACAAAATATTTGCCCAACCCAATTTTCAATGCCACCCAAGAAATAAGCTCTGATGTGAAAGTCCCACTCAAATCCAACCCCTCCCACTCATGTACTTATCCAACCTAAATTTGAAACTACCCAAAGTCCCAGCCTCAATAACCCAACTAGGTAGACTGTTCCACTCATCAACTACCCTATTTCCAAACCAATACTTTTTCCCATGTCCTTTCTAAATCTAAACTTATCTAATTTAAATCCATTACTGCGGGGCTTCTCTCTTGGAGAGACATCCTCAAGACATTATTAATATCCCCTTTATTAATACCTATCTCCACTTATACACTTCGATCAGGGCTCCCCTCATTCTTCGTCTAACAAGTGAATGTAATTTAAGAGTCTTCAATCTTACTTCATAAGGAAGATTTCTAATGCTATGTATTAATTTAGTCATCCTACGCTGAATGTTTTCTAACGAATTTATGTCCATTCTGTAATATGGAGACCAGAACTGAGCTGCATAATCTAGGTGAGGCCTTACTAATGATGTATAAAGCTGCAGTATGACCCTGGACTTCTGTTGCTTACACTTCTTGATATAAATCCCAGTAATCTATTTGCCTTATTACGTACGCTTAGGGATTGCTGTCTTGGTTTAAGGTTGCTGCTCACCATAACCCCCAAGTCCTTTTCGCAATCTGTATGGCTAAGTTCTACATCATTTAACTTATAAGTACTAGGGTTATGGGCACTCCCAAGCTTCAGAACCTTGCATTTATCTACATTGAACTGCATCTGCCACTTTTCTGACCAAGAATAGAGTTTATTTAAATCCTCCTGAAGTTCCATAACATCTACTTTTGAATCAATTATCCTACCTATCTTTGTGTCATCGGCGAATTTGCTCATATCACTAGTAATTCCCTCATCAAGATTATTGATATATATTATAAACAACAACGGGCCCAAGACTGATCCCTGTGGAACGCCACTTGTTACAGATCCCCACTCGGATTTAGCTCCATTTATGGACACTCTCTGCTTCCTGTCAGTGAGCCATGACTCGATCCACGAGAGCACTTTTCCCCCAATGCCATGAGCTGCCACTTTCTTTAACAGTCTATGGTGCGGAACTCTATCAAAAGTCTTACTAAAATCTAAGTAAATAATATCAAATTCTTTATCGTGGTCAACAGCCTCAAAAGCTTTACTGAAGAAAGTTAATAAATTAGTTAGACAAGACCGGCCTCTTGTGAATCCATGCTGAGTATCATTAATCAAGCTATGCTTATCGAGATGGCTTCTTATAATTATTATTTTTATTATCACACTGGCCGATTCCCACCAAGGCAGGGTGGCCCGAAAAAGAAAAACTTTCACCATCATTCACTCCATCACTGTGTAGGCCAATATCTAACTTACCATTGCTATCCAAAATCTTTGAGAAACTCGTGCACAGGAGACTGTATTCATTTATAACGGCTCAAAACATACTCAACCCCTGCCAACTTGGATTCAGGAAAAATAAAAGCACTAATGATGCAATCATAAAAATGCTAGATCTGCTTTACACAGCATTGGAAAATAAGGAATATCCACTAGGAATTTTTATTGACCTAAGAAAAGCTTTTGACACAGTAGACCACGACATCCTACTCCACAAACTTGATCATTACGGTATAAGAGGCCATGCGCTTGCTTATTTCAAATCTTACTTTACTAATAGGTATCAGTAGGGTCACCATTAAAGACACAGCATCAGCAACCGGCCACTTGATACTGGAGTTCCGCAGGGAAGTGTCCTTGGTCCCCTGCTCTTCCTCATATACATCAATGACCTTCCAAACGTATCCCAACACCTGAACCCATTCTCTTTGCTGACGACACGACTTATGTCATCTCTCACCCTAATCTTGCCACCCTCAACACCATTGTTAATGAGGAGCTGATCAAAATAATCGACTTGGATGACAGCCAATAAACTTACGCTTAACACTGACAAAACCTACTATATTATGTTTGGTAGCAGAGCAGGAGATGCAAAAATTTAAAACATTAAGATTGACAACACTCTAATTACCAGAAATAATGGGGCAAATTCCTAGGCTTATACCTTGACAACAACCTGAATTTCAGCACCCATATCCACCATATAACCAAAAAAGTATCCAAAACGGTTGGGATCCTCCCCAAAAGATACGATACTACGTGCCGCAAAATGCCCTTCTCACACTATACCACTCACTTATTTATCCATACCTCACCTATGCTATTTGTGCTTGGGGATCAACTGCAGCAACACACCTAAAGCCAATAATAACCCAACAAAAAGCTGCAGTAAGAATAATCACTAAATCCCATCCCTGGCAACCCCCCCCCCCACTCTTCATAGACCTAAACTTACTCCCAGTTCAGTACATCCACACTTACTACTGTACAATCTACATCTACAGAGCCTTAAACTCTAATATCAACCTTGACCTAAAACGCTTTCTTGTAGTTGTGACAGAACCCACAGGCATAACACCAGACACAAACATCTCTACGACATTCCCCGTGTCCGACTAAACCTTTACAAAAATTCAATGTATGTCAAAGGCCCTAAAATCTGGAAAACCCTACCTGAGAACTCTAGAACTGCAGACACATTCATCACCTTCAAAACTACCATTAGAAAAAATCTTATCTCCCTGATACACCCCGTCAAATAACTACACGAATACCACCTGGTTTGGGTTTACACTTCCCCTCACTCACTCATTTGACCATAAACAGAAATATTTAAACTCAATCTTAAAATAATGAATCCTGTGATACTCCAATACTGAAACTATGTACTGTGGGCCAAAAACAAAAACATTTACATTGCTAAACTCACAAACTAGTATTTATCACTTGGGCCCTTTAAAACACTTACCTATAATTTGAAATATTTTACAATTAGAATTTAAACTAAGTCTGCCCGAAATGCCTAGCTATGCTAAGCGTTCTAGTGGTACACTCTGTAATCACTATTTTACTACATGTAAACCACACAATAACCAAATTTCTGTAAACTCAGCATTGTAATCCTTATAGAGAATAAACTTTGAATTTGAATTTGAATTTGAATTGAATCAAGGGGGATGTATTTACCAGAACATACGAAATCGTAATGACACGACTGCAAACAAACCATACCACGGGTGGGGTTAGAACCCGCAATCAGAGATAAGATTTCGTTCGGATTTTTAACCCCGGAGGGTTAGCCACCCAAGAAAGTCAGTGCGTCATCGAGGACTGTCTAACTTATTTCCATTGGGATCCTCAATCTTGTCCCCCAGGATGTGACCCACACCAGTCGACTAACACCCAGGTACCTATTTGCTGCTAGGTGAACAGGACAACGGGTGTAAGGAAACGTATCGATATGTTTCCACCCGCCGGGAATCGAACCCGGGCCCTCCGTGTGTGAAGCGGGAGCTTTAGCCACCAGGCCCCCCAACTAGGTATATTTGTAGGTTTTGTAGAAATAATTTGGGTTGGATAAAATTTTTTTAAGCCAGCGGGCCCCTTGGCAAAACGTGACGGTTGGATTTTGGTTTGATTGAGATTCAACCCCACCCGGGGGATGGTTTTATTTACAAAAAATTTTTCCCAAAATAATTGAATTAAATTTGCCTTTTTATTTCTAGCTGTGATTACATCAGGTCCCTGTTAGAGCATCAACGCCTAATGAACTATTTTTAGAACCATAATGTTATTAATTAAGTTATTCGGGTATAGGTACACAAAAATACGTTACATAAATTATAATTTAGTAATGAATGTATGATAATTATCAGCTTAGCAGCAATTATGTAGTCACTTAGGAAAACCCCAAAATGTCAGAAAAAAGGACTTTTTACCACGGGGGCCTTGATCATTAATCTTTAAAAGTGGAC